ACAAACAAACAAAACAAAAAACAAGAAGGAAGGAAGGAAGAAGAAAGGAAAGAAAAAGAAGGAATAAAGGAAGGGAAGCAAGCAGACAGGTCCAAATAGAAATCTTTTATCCCTGCTCCATCCTGCCCTTAAGGCCTGGCATTAAACTTTTAGGCCTCTTTGCTATCTCTGGGGGCTCAGGGCCCTGCACTCTTGCTGCCAGGAACACAGGGTCAACCCGATGCAGACCAGTGTGGTTCTGTGGCTGTGCACTGCTCATATGGCCCCAGCTGCCAATCCAGAGATGAGCACTCACTGGGAAAGTTTTGAGGTCATGACCATTTCAATTGGGCCCACGGTGGATGCCTCAGAGTGACTGGATTATGAACAATCTTGTAGTCTTTTTTTTGTATTTTATCTTGCTCACTTTCTACAATGAGAAGGTATCATTCAGGAAAGAAACCCAATACTCGGTAATCACATATTCTAAGAACTAGGAGTAATGTTTAAGAAACATTTTGCATTGTGGCAGCATCAATAAAACGAGGGTAAATACAGCCCCAGACATTAAGAGCTTTGAGAAACAGAAACCAGAATCACATGCATCTGTCAACTCTGGTGGGGGTTCTTAAAAATCTGCCCCCTTACTCTATCCCACACCAGCTGGAAGACAGCATGGAAGGCAACCCACTAGTGTGGACCAGCTCTTTCTATCTGCACTGAAATCACCTCTCACTCTGAAACATCACATTTCCCTGGAAAGGTCTGGGTGTGTCCCTGGGATGGATAAGTCCCCATAAGAGAGGAAACATTTTCAGAAAAGAAGCTTCACTTTAACTACAAGAATCAACCAAGCATCCCCCATAAACCACACCAAAGGATGACCAGAGTGTATTTCTTCCCACTCCTTCCTCCAGATATTTGAAAAATCAGTTAATACTCAGCGCATAAGCCACGGGAAGAGAGAGTCCATTCTAAATGCCTCTGGGTGATGTACTTGAGTTCCTTATTCTGAATTTGACCCAGGTAGGCATCTTTGGAGACCTAAGCAGCACATCCTCCAAGTCAAGACAGCTACACACAGTGCATCGTTTTCGGCATCTTATCATGAGTGTGGATGAATGTTGAGATATAGGGCTCAGTCTCAGAGTCTTGGGATATCCTTCCCTCTTGTCACAGGAGAGGCAAGCATTGCTAAGTGGGACCACTCATCCCTGATGGAAAGATATGCACCTGGGCTCAGGGCGCTTAAGGAAGGCTTTGTCTAGATTTGGAGGAACTACCCAGTCTCTGTGATTCCATGATCCCTGAAGTTGAAAGGGTAGGGTTGTTGAAAAGCTAAGGCTTGGAGGATTGAAGCTGGAACAGGCACAGATTGTATTTTTCATATTTTGATGCCAGGGAGCCACAGACCTACAGCCACAAAGTAAGGGGGCTGCTTGGAGTCTAGGAGCTTCTCTACAGATGAATCATTTATCTTTCTTAACTGATCAAAGTTGACACAGGAGGAAAGTAGGAATGAGTGGAGAGAGAGAGAGAGAGAGAGAGAGAGAGAGAGAGAAACCGAAGAAGAAATCATAACTCCCAAAATAAAGAGAGAGATATGGGACCTCTCTCCTGGTAGAACACCCCACTTTCCTGAATCCCAGTGAAGGACGGTAGGGAAGGAAATAAGAGTTGCAATGGGCCGCAGGCTCAAGGTTGACTTGCATGGAGCTCAAAGCACATATATGTTCATATACCAGTAAGAAGTTTGAACTTGACCTAGGGTTGGGACTGGCAACTTTGGTGAGGTCATTGGCCCTACATCCCCTCATAGGGTTGGGTTCTACTTTGATTTGGAGTTAGCAGAGTCTGACCTAAAGAGCCTCACAAATCGAGGCTCCTCTCTTCCTCCTCCTCATCTCCCTCACAGCCAGAGAGCTTCCATAGCTGGTTGGAGTCACATGTTTTAATCTGTGGTCAGGCCCTTATGCTAAGAGGGATTGAGGTCACCTGGCAGTCCTCCCATTGGCCAGGACTTGCCCTCTGAGCAGGGTCTCTATCCTGGCCATGTGGCTGGGCATGTTTTTTTTTTGCTTCCCAACAGGATCAGACTCCAAAGTGTGTTTGTACTTATCTGCCCCGCTAGCAAAGAAGTCACTCAAAGCCCTTTCTCTGCGGATGGTGAGTTGAGCCCAGGTGGTTTACGTCTTTCCTGGGACACAAGGTTTCAAAGGGACGCAGTAAGCTTTGCTAAAGGTCTGTCACAAAGATAAGTAATTGGATACAGCAGATAATCTACTCGTTGAAAGTATGGGATTTTAAAAAAAGAGGATATAAATAATGATAGGTCTGCAAGCCAGCATCCTCAAACATGATTACTTACAAAAAGTTTAAATGGTTCATAGCACATTTCCCCATTTAGAATTTTCCCCCTCTCCTGCAACTGGGAAATAGCTGGGATTTCAGTGTGGGCATAGACAAGCCCTCTGCGCCAAATGGATGCTCATGGACACCTGTCTGTCCCTTCCTCGACAGAGCCCACTCAGGACACTTGGAAGGAAGACACAAGGCCTCTCAATCTGAGATACTTTTCTTCACTTTTCCTCAAGCCCAAGTATGCCCTTCCCCTTGAGGGAGAAATTTAACTTTTCAAAGAAAATTAAAAATAAAATGCCCAATTGAAAAACTGGGTTTTCCTGAAAATTATTTCCCTTCTCATAGAATAAATCCTTTATTTTAAAAATAATCCTTAGAACCCCAATTGGAAGCTAACAACTTCTCCTGTTGCACCCCTTACCCTATCACCCAGCACACCCACACACAAGGAACTCACACGAGACCTTTTGCAGAAGCTGACCAGCATCCCCAGTAAGGAAGTCTTGAGTGGTGCGCTCACACCTGCGTGCAGGTGCATACCGACACAAACGTACACAAAACACACCAGAGAGATACACACACGGAGAGACCTGCATTCAACCCCATTCATGCACACCAGATGTCATATCATATCCAGACATGAATTCCACACACAAAGTTCAAAGGAGCAGATGAGGGTGGAAGATGGAAGTGAGAGAACGTAAGTGGTTAGTAGGCGAGGAGGAGGGTGGTGGGAAGATGGGTTGGAAGACAGGGAAATGAAGCAGATCACACAGCAGTGGAAGGAAGGCTGCTGAGTGCTTGGCAAAGCTCCCAAAGCATATTTGTTTATGAAACAATGGGGTTCTCTGCTACAGGGTTGACCATGGCTACACCAGCTCAGGGATTTTCGCCTGGTCTCCCCAGGGCTGCTGGGCACCAGCAGGGTCACTGAGATGACTGTGAGTGGCTCCAGCCCACTCCAGCAGACTCCCACCCCTAGAGTGTTCACAATTCTCTGGCTGACTTTGCTCGTCAGCACCTGCAGGGCTCATTTGCTCAAATGAGCCCGAGACACTGGGGTGGGTCTATTCCACCTCTGTTTGGGTGCTAGCCACTCAGACTGCTATTCTGGGATTCATGGCCTTGAATATCAAGAGGGAAAGAAAGAGGATGGAGAGAGTCAAGAGTTCGGCATTAATTTACACGATATCATACAAACTTGAGCCCATGGGAAATGGAGGTACTGTCTCTGCATGTGACCCACTTCCTTTCATTCGTACAGAGGTCACCCCTAGGGAAAGGGCAGATGTCCAGTGACAAAGGACAGCTTCTCTACTGGGGAGTGAAGGTCTCGTTGGTCTATGCTTTTGTACAACAGCAACCAGAGCAACACGCCTTCTCCCTCCCGAACCGTGTCTTCCCCCTCTTCTCTCATGGCTTATGTGCCCAGCTGTCTTGAACTTCCAAAATTAGAGGGCTAAATCCTGCAGAGTCCCAGAGCTGTAATGTGGAGAACCACGGGGGTCCTCTGGCCCAGTGGCCTTGTTCTTGGTTCTGCCCTCTGGAAATTTCAGCTGTACCAAAAATAATAATTTAAAAAAACACAACACAAACAATAAAATCCCACACTCAGGAAACATCCACCACATGCCCACACACACACACGCACGCGCGCACACACACACACACACACACACATACACACACACATGCCTCCAGGGATCTGTAGCTGCAGAAATGGCACCCTTATAGGCCTGCCCCTCCTGGCAATTTCTAGGTCTCTGGGCCTCTATCTGGGGCCATGAAACCACTACAGGGATAGAGAGACAACAGTCATAATGCAGTGTTTCCATTTAAAAGGTAGAAAAGAAACAAAGGAAACTGCCCGAAGTGCACATGCACGCACACCCACACACACACATCACAGCATGACTCCAAGGCTCCAGTCGGCCCAGGGAGTGCAGGTGCGGCTGGGGACAGGGTGGCCTCTTGTTTCACTGGGTGTAAGGCAGCTGGAAGGTAAGACTGGGTTTTCTGAGCATCCACCGAAGCGTCCTTTCATTGATGCAGATCTTGCCTCTCAGCATGTTCTCTTCCCTTCCCACCTCTGAAACGTTGTCCAAAAGTTTGGCAGCAAAGAGAAAACGTCCTTCTCAGTTTGTTTTCCCTTCCACTTCTTGTGTGTTGCTGGTGGGCCTGGAAGGAAGTCCGAACAGGAAGAGCAGGAGAAGAAGTGATTCTGAAAATGGCCTCAATGATTTGGTTCCATTCTAGGAACTAAGGGCTTTGCTACCCTGTGATATGACTGGCGGGGGGTGGCGTCCTCTCCTGTTGGCCCAGTGGGTGGCACTTCCTTCTCTACATCTGTGCCGCCTCAGACCCCTGTCACTGTCCCTTCACCACCCTGTCCTTGCCAGTGATGGGGATCAGGACATGGTCGCGAGAGGTGGTGTTCGCTCTGTCTTCAAGAGACCATGAAGCCAAAAGTCAAGAACTGATGGAAGAGCCACAGGACGGGAGCACTTTCCCCATCTCAGGGATGAGGCAACACAAAGTCTGGCAAGATGCAGGTGCCTGAGCCAACTCAACTCTACCTTGGCACTGGCATCGTCTTTAGTTTTGTTTTATATATGTATATTATATATATATATTTATATATATATATGTAGGTATGGGTTTGTTTTTTAGCACACTGTCCCATTCTCGGGTCTGGATTTAGGGCAGTTGGTCCTCGGGACAGGCTGAACAGAAGGGGCCAAGGTACAGAAGAATCCCGAGATGAGTGTGAGGCCCAGGCCCCCCCATGCACAGAACATGGACCAGCCATAGCCATGGCTGATGTCATCGGGGAGTCCATACAGGTAGCGTGGGTAGCGTGACAGCTCAAAGTTGATCCCGGCCACACAGGTGCACAGTGAAATGATGCAGAAGGTTCCTAGAGGACAAGGGAAAAGACAAAGGGTGGGGAAATGGAGAAAGAAAGGGGAGAGGAGAGGGAGAGAGAAAGAGAAAGGTTAGGATTATTACATTTTCAATTTTCTTGAGTAGGAAGAAAACAGGAAGTCCAGGTAAGAGCAGATTATTACCAAGATCAATATCTGGAAATATTCACAGAGAGGAGAATAGTATTAAAGGATCATCACTTCCTCACTCTCCAATAATGGCTCAGTCTTGGACACACTTGGGAAGTCTCTCTTTTGGGAAGATACTAAATAGATATCTCGTGAGCATTTTGTGTAGGGTGGAGTGAGGCAGAAGAGCATTCAATTCATTGTCCTAAAGCATTTTAAATTCATTGTCTTTCTTTGGAGACATGGAAAACATCTCCTGTTTGTTATTTCTATAAAGAGAGAGAGAAAAAAGAAACCTTTTTTTTTTTTTTTTACTTCCTTATACATAATGACTTACACAATATTAGGTTTCCCTTCAATCTGTTCAACAATTCTTCTAAATCCTGGAAATATTTTCCTTTTTTCTATAAGACATTTCCCAGAGTGTTCTCTCTGGAATGCTAATGCTATGAGACCCTTTACAAGGTGGGAGGCAGAGTCAAAAGACTGGGAATCCTGCTCATGACTTCTCACCTATGAACATGCACTGTCCGTATTAATGTTAATATCATCCACCCTACTTTTACGAGGAATTTCACAAACATTGATGATGGGACAGCCTCTAAAAATATTACTCATATCACTCTCCAATAAGAAAACTGCTACATGAGGTAGAATGTTATAAAATGGTTTAGAATTACAAACCCACTTTAAACGAATACAAGTTTTTGGTGTGCCTAGAATAAATTCAATGACTTTCCTCTGCATTTGCTGTATTTTCTGTTCTTTATGTAACCACTGATGTGACAGCAGTGAGCAGAACAAGAATGTATAGTTTGGGAAGGCCGGGCTGGGTCAGTGGAAGGAAGAAAAAGGAAAAGCATATTTTTTACAAGGAACAAAGGAGACACATTGATTCAATTTTATATTTATTATTAAAACTCTTGCTTTCTGACAGCCAAGTTTCTTTAAGATTGAGCCTTGTTTCTTTAAGATCTAGCCTCATTTTTTTCCAGAAGGTTCCTGGAAGACAAGGAAGAAAATACAGTGGAAGAATGAGGTTCACGAGCTTGTGATGATTTAAATGGCCACAGTTGACCCTAACATGTATTAAGTGCTATGTGCTAGAAACTGCACTAACGATACAGGAGTCAAAAAGAAATTATTTAGGCAGAGAGTGAGGGTAAGAAAGCCCTCGGTAAGGTTTTCCTTTTAGTAAAAAGCAGCCCCCAAATCATTTTTTTTGAGCAAACGAGCAGGCTGTAAAAATTGAGCTGCAGACATAGATAAGCAAGCTGGAAGTTTGCATGGGTGGCACATGCCAGCAGCTGTGCCAACAGGAAAAGGCTACCTGGGGGCCAGCCATGTTAAACATGGTGGCTTCATCTTCCCTTTTCTTTGAAACCACATAAACCATAAGCAGCAAACAACATGACGCCGGCCAGGAAGAAAATCTGTTTGCATAATGAAGAGATTAGGATGGGGTGGCCAGCTTCATGGCGCCCTATGTAAATGTCACACACCAAGTTCAACCAATCTTTGGGCGCAGACACAGCCTCCTCAAGCCAGTCTATAAAACCCTGTGTACTTTGCCACAGACTGGAAATCCCACTGGGTGAGAGACAGCTATTCTACTTTCTCTTTCTTTTGCCTATTAAACCTCCACTCCTAAACCTACTTCTTGTACGTCTGCTTCCTCGAGTTCCCTGGCATGAGATGACAAACGTTGGGTAATTACCCCAGACAACGCTGCTGGCTCACCAAATGTGTGCCAATACCTTGAAGAGGTCATCAAGCTTTAATTCACAAAACAACTCTAAGATGTGGGTTATGCTTTCCCCATTTTACTGATGAGGACATTGACACCCAGAGAGCTTAAGTTATTTGCCGAAGATCATACAGCTAGCAACTGGAGGAGCTGGGTTACAAACTCAGGCGGGCTAGTTCCAGAGCCTGCAGTCTCATCCACCATACTATTTACAGCTGGTGCCAGGCAAGGCGGGTCACTTCATGGGTTTCTCCTGTTGCACACCTAGGTTCCAGATGACTTCTCTCTCACTCGGCATGGGTTAGGGCAGTTTGTAGTCTTGGAGGACACAATTAAAGCAGATCGCTGAGCCCCACACTCACAGTTTCTGGCTCAGGAGGTCTGGGGTGGGGGCCTGAGAATTTGCATTCTGAAGAAGTTCTTGTGGTGTGCTGATGCTGCTGGCTCGATGACCACACTTTGGAGCTATTAGGTTCGAAACAAGTTTTCATTGGAGAAGGATAAAACTGAATCAGCCAAAGCTGATGACAGGCAAAGAAATACAAATGGATAGTACATTAGTACATGCGAAAAATGCTCCATTTTACCAATAATCAAAGAACTGAAAATTACAAACATAGTGATTATCAAATCAGCAACCTTCTATTTTATTTTGTTGTTTTGCTTGTTTTGTTTTGTTTTTAAAGAACATCTCCAAAACTAATAAGGGGGCAGAAAATGGACCATCCTAGAGACTCCAGGGGGAGTGTAAGCTGGTGTTTCCTTGCAGAAGAGTGATTTTTAAAACTAACACAAGAACAGAAAACCAAACACTGCATGTTCTCACTCATAGGTGGGAGTTGAACAGTGAGAACACATGGACACAAGGAAGGGAACATCACATACCAGGGCCTGTCAGTGGGTGGGGGTGGGGGAAGGGACAGCATTAGGAGAAATACCTAATGTAGATGACAGGTCGATGGGTGCAGCAAACCATCATGGCACATGGATACCAGTGTAACAAACCTGCATGTTCTGCACATGCACCCCAGAACTTAAAGTATAATAATTAAAATAAAAGCTGCTATACATTTTACTCCTTGACCTGATGATGAGGCCTAATGTAAGAGATAAATAATCGGCCGATGACTGACTCAATGAAAAAAAAATTCATACCTTTATCCTAGTAATTTCATTTTAAGAAAATAGTCCCACCTGGGGACAAAGATTTAGATATGGAAATGTCTAAGATTGAGATAAAAGGATGTCTGTGGTGAGGGTGCATTGAGGAGTGGCTGTCAGAGGACAGACCAATTAAGCTCCAGATACTGGGCAAGCACTGTTTTCAGAGCTGAGAAGTTTGAGCTTTATGTAGGGTCAAGGCACTTTGGTGATTTTAATCTGCATTTCCAAACACCACTAAGTCAGAAGTGTAGAGGGCAGCCCAGAGGTAGGGAGACCAGTGAAGAGGTCATCAGGGAGAAGGGGGAAGGGTCTGGCCAGGTGGGAGCAGAGCTGGGAGCTCCGAATGGCTTACTGGATGATTGTTACTCAATGATTATTTATAGAAGTAACTGCAGATGATGTGGCCGCAGTGACAGTGTGACTAAAATGCATTTGTATCACACGTGTGTGCATGTGTAATATGTGTGTGTATGTAGTGCCATCAATGCTTGTGAGAACAGTACTCCAAACTTGTGGGGGTTACAGAACATCACAATTTTTTCGTTGTGCACTAAAGCTCAGACTGAACTCTCTGATGGTACCCAGGGTGGATTAGGTCTCAGCCTAGACTCCCTGAATTAGAGTGTCTTGGGAAAGAGCATGGGAATCTATAGTTTTTACAAGTTCCTCAAGATGACTTCTGTTGGTCAGCCTGCTTGAATTCTTGTATGGGGCAAAGGTGCTTTGTATGACCTGAAGAAGGGATTCCAGGTGGCAAGAAGCAGGGGCAGCAGGGGAGAATGAGGTAGCCTGCAGGGCATGGCCTAAGCACGAGTAATTGCCAGGGGTCAGAGAGCAAGAGGACACTGTCTTGGCATTAGTTTCAAATAAACCAGATTCCAGCAGACCAAAGCCAGCCTGCTCATGCCTCACCTACTGTGGATGCTTCCAACTGCTGGTTTGTGAACCTATCACTGGATGTGTAATGCTATAGTTTACTAAAATTTAGATTTAGGACAGAAAGGGGGGCGGGCAGTGGAGTGGGTTCAAGCTCCAGTCACCCTTGGGAGGTTCAAGGCATTTGGAAACATGGATCTGAAACCTGATAGAAAGTTCTGAGCCAGAAATGTGGTCTGAGTCATCACCTCATAAATTCAAACTGTGGATGGGATTGAGGTCACCCAAGGACTTTATATAAACTGTTTCTACAGAGGATACTTAAAGAAATGGAGAAATTTCTTCTTACGAAAAGCCACGCTATCCTGGTGACATCCAGTAATTTGTTCTGAGATAGGCGGTCGACCTCAAGGAACCCTTCCAAGCTGACAGTAGCTGATGAAGCTGGATATATGTGATTCTTATGGCATATTCCATAGCAGCGCAGCAGCTGATGAATGGGGAGTGATGGAATACCGTCGGGGTGGAACTAAGTATCTGTAGAAAATGACTCAACGTCTTCACCACATTCATCTTGTTCTGCTATGCTAATAGAGTTGATGAGGAACCTTCCTGCCTTCACTTCCTGTTGTTGCTCTGTGACTTTGAAACCTGTTCAAATTCCTTCTGTTAGCTCTTGTCAATATTCCCATAGATGGGAAAACACCTTTCTGGCTCCCACTTGAGATTGTCCTTAAAGTAGACCATTGATACAACTTGCTCAGAAAGTCCATGTGACAAAGAGGGAAGAGTTGGAAGAGGTTTGATTAATTTCCACATATGCTACTGTTTTCTATTATGAGCAAGGATTTATATGTTCTTAATATATACGTTTTCTGAGACAGGTTCTCACTCTGTCGCCCAGACTAGAGTGCAGTGCTGCAATCACTACAACCTCTGCCTCCAGGGCTCAAGTGATCTTCCCATGTCAGCCTCCCTGGTAGCTGGGACTACAGGTGCATGCCACCATGCCCAGCTAATTTTTAAATTTTTCATAGGGACAGGGTCTCATGATGTTGCCCAGGCTGATCTCGAATT